AGATTTTCTAATATTTTATTCGAATTGTTTCCGTCCCAGCCTCTGCCTCGGTACCCTCGCTGAATAACATTTTTTGACTTTAGCCAATCATCAAATCCTGGCCAGACATCTAACAAAAAATTTCCAAGCAGTGAAACAAAACCAATTAACAAATGAAGTTCAGGTGGAGGAATGAGTTGCTCAATTAAAGTATTTGGATCTAAATTAATATATAAAATTCGAGGATTGATGCAGTTCATAAACTCTTGCATGGATGATTTTACTGAGTTATTTTCTAAATATTTATTGTACCAATAATCAATACTGCCAAGAGTTCGTTTTTTCCCTAAATTTAATGTAGATATTCCTTCACACCATAAACAAGGTTTTTTCCCAGAATGTCCTGATAAACCAAACAGTGCGTTTCCACATTTCAAGTCAAAAGCAACATAAAAACTGACATCTTGCAAATTTAATTTTTCTATAACAAGTCTCAAATTATAGTTAGATTCAGGAATATCTTCAACAATAGCTAAAAATTGAGACCGTTGAACACCACTATTTAAGTACTCGTCTGACTCATTATCTTTTTGACAATCAAAGACATTGATGATTACTTTAAAAAATGAACCTCCACCATCCAATGAAATTCTTATAAAGGCTGAAGTAGGGTCTAAACCACGCAATTTTAATAAGTCAAGTACAAAATTTGATGTATTTTGAACATATACAAGATCTCGTAAAATTAAATGGCCTTTACTATCAATAAACTCGCACTTCTGCACGCTGTAGTAATTAGAAATATATTCTTCTAATTCAGAAAGACGACCAAAAATATTAGGCTCAATGGAAAGCTTATTTCCTAAACCTTTGCGTAAAGTAGAAAGCATCTCTTTTGTTTTTCTATTTGAAAGTTCTAACACAATTTGTAATTGCTTTATTATTTTGATGGAAAGCTGCTTAATAGAAGTTCTTTTTGATTTGTTTTCTGCTGTACCAACTGTGACTTTTAGCGGATTTCCTCCTGTAGATAAACAAAATGTTGATCCGTCAACCAAACTTTCTGTAGCCATTTTACTTTTTATAATTCCAGAAGCAACCTACGTAAAGTTTTCACAAAATGAAATTTGCATAAAAAACTAAAAACTTATAAACAAAATATAGTTTTTTTTACCTTTTCAGCTTGAAGAGAACCTAGAAGAAATGACAGTGTAATGATATTTGCCACAGCACTGGTGGGTGTACAGTTATGAGAATAACCAGGTGCAGGCAATGAACAGCAAAAAGAACATATACTTGACTTAGTTGTCGGAAAATTAGTTATCTCATCTGGAAGAGTTAGACTGGTTCTGGGGCTATTTCTCAAAAGGGTTTTCCACTCTACCTAAATAAATATACATTTATAAATAAACTAAAGAAAAAAAAGGAAAATAAATGGAAAAAATCATTAAAACTACCTTGGTAACCTTAGCTCCCCATTCACCACGAGATGAGTCTCCCTTTTTGAGTCTGTAAAGATTTCTTCGGCAACCAGGACAAACAACTGATGGATAGCAATCGTTGTTCATCGAATATCCAGGAAAGATAAACATTTGAATTTGTTTTTATTTTTAAACTATTATATTAAACAATATATTTTACAAAATAAATTTTGTTACCTCCATTAAAAAAATATCTATCAGTGGTTTCCAAGGATAAAAACATTTTTTTAAACATTTTTTTCAAGTCAAGTTCCGGCGAAAAATTAAGAAATTTTATAACCATTTTATAATATATTTATATCAAAAAAGGTATGATAGCAACGCGTTTCGATTTCAAAAAATATATTTTCTAAAACAATATATATAATACTTTCATAAAATAAGGACTTGGTTTGAGTGCCACGACAAAAAACCTGGCGGTCTCTCTGGTGCACAGTGGCCAGGAGCTGCCAATATATAAAGTAATTATTGCAACCTTCGTAACAAAACTCTTGTATTTATTGTTACAAATGATACTAACTAGTCTCTAGCCTATTCCCAATCAAGTTTTTGTCATACGTTTTTCAAAATGTATGAAAACCATGTTTAGTGTCTGAGCAACTTTAAAATTATGAAATTACAGAAAGTTTTAATTAAAAGGCTTTAGGGTTTTTATATAAAAAGTTTTCATATAAAAGTTTTTTTTTTTGACTAATTAGAGAACATTAAAATTTACATGCAAGTGATAAAATAGTTGATTTCAGTTAACGAAGAACATGTTCCATATTCTTATAACAATGCTGTCAATATTAGTTTTCCGTTGTCATTAAACTATTATTAGGCTATACAATTATTGTCTACAGGCTTTAGATCTGATATCTGTTATTCATAATAAAAAAACTTTATATTGTTAGCACTAAAATTATGTATTTTATTATTTGGAGTAAAAACTAAAAATTTAATCATACTCGTCACTAATTGAAAACGTGACAAAATGTGACGTCACTAACTGAAAACATAAATATCATGTCATATAAATTTTTTTTAAGACCATTGAAATCAGTTAACAAATTTTGCTTTTGATGTAAAAAAAGAAATTTGGGACGTAACAAATAGTGTAAGGATTAGGGTGCTGCTTCGTAAAAGTATTATAATTTTTAAAGCTAGCATAAACATCTGAGAAAGTTCAGTTTCGATTTCATAAGTTGCAAAATAACAAGAGTCTGCTTGCAAAAATTTTTAATTCCACTCAATTACTGCAATTACTTTTATTTTGTTTGGTGTTGCAGCTTTTATTGAAAATTAGGATTCAATTATCTTATTGCAACACATTTGTTGTATAAGCATATACATATCTATATATGTAAATGCATATATTTAAAGCCTTTAGGTGTTTGACGCTAAGTCATCCGTTTGGTGCTAAATTTTAAAAATGTTAAACTAGTAATCTGCAGTTTTTCAGGCGACTATTAGCGGTTGTTTTTTTTTTAATCTAACGATAGTTTACTCCATAATTGTGATGCATTATTTTTTTCTTATGACGCAATTGTTTTAATTTTTAAGTAAATAGCTTAAAACCGTAAGGAAATTATAAACTAAAAATATTTAAATGGAGCAAAATTGTCAATAACTACGCAAAAATCTTTAATTGCTTTTCCTTGTGGTTTTCTAAAATAAAAATTCTTAGTTGATGCCCCCGAAGTAATTTAAGAATGCCCACGGTACAATGCGGTTTTTCTAAATTTCTTCAGGAGCATTAAAACATAAAGTTTGAAATTTTATTCAAAGCATGAGTCAACTGTTAATGTTTAAATGTTTTTTTTTTACCGTATTAAACTTGCACTTTAAAGTTGATAATCGCATTGTTTTTGTGTGACAAAAATTTTAAATTAATAAACCTAGTTAAATAAAAGGTAAGATATCTCAGTTAAACTCAATTACACACAAATTTAAAGATATTAGCGTGCTAATGGGTGGTACGCCATGGGTGGCATTGTTTTAGAGATGGTTTTTTTAATGCGCGTTTATTTTAAAATGAACTGAAATATATAAAAGTTTTTAAATTTGAATAAATCGATAGAAAACGCATGAAATGTTGTGCTACTCCAGTCACGTGAGTAAATAAATTTAATAAATCTGATGATATAAAATTATTTTGCTCCAATCATGAGAGCAAAGAACATATTTATGAATTTTATATTTTTATTTAAAACTTTTAAGGTAAGTTATAAACTCACGCGGAAATTACTATAAAACAAACATACTGAAAAATTATTACATTATCAACCCATGTTATCATATTATCAACTTATGACTAAATTTTTTGAAAAAGTAGAAGATGCAAGATGATTCATCTTACTCGTAGCTACTCTATATATATGTAAAATACTTTTCCAAGTTTTTCAGAAGATTAAAGTTTTAAAAAGATTTGCTTTACTCGATTCTTTGGTATTTAAACATTTTGATCTGATTATAATATCTTTGCAGGAGATTATAATATAAATCCAATTTTTTTAATGATTCTAGACGTAAATACTGACAAATCATCATTATTTTCTCAAACAAAAATATCTAAGAACTTATGCTTGCTTTTTAAGTACATTAACTATCAGATTTGAGTCTTTTATGACATTTCCGTTTTCATCGAATAATGCTTCAATTGAATTATTGATCCGGTTATTATTTATTTATTCATGTATTTGAATGTTAACTTTGGAATTTTTTTAGCCCATGTTTTATCAATATATGTATATATGTAAAATCATATACGTATATCTCTAAATATTATTGCCGAACTTAATAGTTTTAATAGTGTCCCTTGGAGCGTATTTGACACAAAACCTAATTATTATATGAAGCGTATTTGACACTAAAAATATTATAATTATTGAATATATATTTATTTATAAATTGTATGTATATTTTGTAATTTTACAAATTGTTTTTAAAGTTACTAAAGTTTAATTTTTTAAATGTTTTCAGTTAATGAAACATGTTCTGTTTTGTAGGTGATGTGTTAAAATTGTTTCTCAACAAGCTGTTAATTTTATAGAAGCTGAATATGACCTTATTTTAGATATAAGTAAGTGGTTTTTTATTTTTTATTTCTTTTGTTTTTGTTAGACATTTAATCATGTTTTATATGAATCTAATTATTTAGAACAGTGTTTTTGTCTGGTGGTGATATTCAGGTTAGATTTTATAAAGTTAAATTTACTTTTAAAAAACCTTTCAAATTTACTTCTTAAAAAGTTTTGCTTTTTTTCCTTAGTTCCTTATTCAACAATTTTTTTTTATACATAATCTTTAAAATGAATAAAAATATTAATATGATTGTTGTTTTAATTTTAGTGGTATGGCTTATCACATATTGTAAGTTTTAAATTCTAATTTATCTTTATCTAAAGTTTGTATTTTTCTTAATGTAATGAAGTTATACATTTTACAAGTTATAGTTTGTTTAAATCAAGTGTGTTTGATTATCTAAGTTGTTGTGAAGTTGCAGTTTGTATTTTTCTGTCATGTCCAATGACATGGGTTTCAAAGTAAAGGGGCACAATCGTCAACTTCTATAAAAAGTCTTCAATATTTAAAGTAGGCAATAAAATTTCCCCTCTATTTATTAAATGAAGGGAATTACTCTTACCAAAAGTGAAGTTTGAAAAAGTATTGGTGGGTGGGTAGTGGAAAATAGATTACCTACTTACTATTTACCTACTTAACCTACTTAACTACATTTATAACTAGAAGAGGTATTTGAATGTATTTAGTTTAATATGTATATTTTTATTGATCTATTTTTTAATTTTTGTTTGTAACTAAAAAAATTTTTTTAAATCTACCAATTTTTTTTTTAATTGTAATTTAATTAAATATTAAGTTATGTTAACAAAAAAATTTATTGAAAAGTTGTACGTTTTGGTTTTTACACTAAACACCATTAAAATTTAAGTCATTATTAAAATTATGTCAAATTAAAATGATGTGAGAGCTGCTGTGACAGTGTTTATGATTCTCCGTGTCAAAATAATACATTTTCATTTAAAATTTTGTGAATACTTTAAATTGAAGTTAATAATTTTCATAATAATCAACAGTTATCACAGGTATTCATAGGTCTATTAAGTACTTACAATATAAAGGAACTTAAAAATTTTTCACTGTGTATGTTCTTTATCGATCTCTAATCTGATCATTATCAATCTCTTATCTGATCTTTATCGATCTCTTATCTGTTTAAAAAAACATTATTGTTTTTAATTAAAACTTATGAAAAAGTTAATATTTTTATTAAATTCTTTTTTTTAACTTTTTGTTTGCTTTTACAACTTTACCTTCATTATCTTGTTATGGTAGAGTTATTTTTTGTATTTAAATGCAAATATTATGTATTAAAATTATTTTAAATTTAGTTTTTATTCTATTTCTTTAGTTCTATTTTAGTGCTCTACCGACTATTATATGTTTACTTTGTCTACTGTTAAAATATAGTTTTAACTTAGTAAACTTTAATTATTTTAAATTTACTAAGTCAATCATTAGCTAATAGTTTGAAAAGAAATTAGTTTTTGCAAACAAGGTAAGAATAATTTTATTTTCTGGTCGAGTTACATTATTTGTTTGCTTCAATAGCTATTATGTTTTGTTATTTTGTGTGATAGCTATTTTGTCTTTGCAATAAATGTTTTTATAAATACAACAAATTTTTTCTTTTACAGATTAAATAATCTTTTTTCGAACATTTTAAAGAAAATGTTCGAAAGAAAAAACTCTAGAAAAAACATCAGCAACAGGTAAATTGGTTAGTAGTGTTAATCCTTAATTTTAGACATACCTTACTATGCTTTTTCAGCATTTGCAGAACTAATATAGGGCCAACATCTCACAAGGTGTGGGCTCCAATTTAGGGCAAAAGCATCCCCCCGCCCTTTTTTTTATATATATTTCAATATAGAGTGTGGATAAAAGTGTTGTAAAAAAAGAGTGGTGGACAAAAAAACGCTGCATCTATAATTAGTAATTTTATGTAGTTGCTTAATCTACTAATTGTTAAAGTGATAATGCAAATTGAGTTTAATTTTTTTTTGTAAGCATATACTTTTCTTTATATATCTTGTTTTGTTATTATGTATAAAT